ATTTTTGATGACTCTTTCGAACATGAAGTATGGCAGGATGCTGAAAATTATCGTCTGATATTCATTGTGGATGTGTGGCACCCTGAGTTAACAGCACAACAGAGACGCACCCTTCCTGCTATTTAAGGGGTTCCTTCTGATGGCACAGAGGAGCTTTAATTCTTTGGAGTATGCAAATGGAATTAATTTATCCAGCATACGAAGTACACAAGTATTTTAAGGATAAGAAAGGATGACATTCTACAATCAGAGAGGACTTGGTTTAAAAAAAAAGAAAAAAAAGGAAAAAACTAAAAAAAAGAAGCCATGTTTTGTTTCATACTGATACAGCACTGATGTGTATTGTTTTTCTGGCTGTAAGTTTCAAAATACAAATCTTGTCAGCCAGAAAGCAATAGGTCTGGATTTTCAAACTGAGGAATGTGCAGATGGTTTTGCCATGCTTATATTATGTGTACAGAACCAGTCAGTCGGTCATATGCTTGACCATGTTCAGGCACAAGATTTATGATTCTACATCTAGGAAATGCTTCCCAGGCTTTTATCTGGGAAGCAATATGTAAGATATTTGCAAACGTATGCACACAATCGACTTTGAAAATCAGTATGCAGTTGTAACGTTAGCTGCTTTAGGCTTAGAACATGTTATCACTGCAGATAATGTGAATGGATTATGTGAGTTTTGTACTTTTTCTACCTGAGTAATTGTATTTTTCTAGCTTAATTATGAACAAATCTTCTTTAATTAACCACTATTTTTAAAAAAAACCCATTATATATACAAGTGTGTCTCTAGCTATCAGCAGAAGGAAAACACTATATATGAACAGATTTAATTTTTGCTAAGTGTGGCCTTCTTTTGCCTTCCTGGAAATGCAAATAGAAACTTGCATAATCAGCTGCCTAGTGAAGCTTTGTTCTTCTAAAACAAAATAGTTCTCTTAGTTAGCAGGCAACCTTCAGTTTGATAATGTGATTTTGGAAAATGTTGAGCAAATGTGACATTTGTGGGCTCAGATTGTAAAGTGCTTGACAGTTTGTAGGATTATATGGTGAGCTGCTGTTTTTCCTGTCGTTACAAAAGCTTGTGATGTGATATCCTTTTTCTACTCAGCAAGGGTCAGGGGCACCTCTTTCCAGGGGCTCCTCCTTGGCTGCCCTTGAGTGGTCATTCAGCAGAAAAAAAATATGAAGAATTTCTTGTGCTTTGGGCAGAAGGACAAGGTCTAACTTGGGTTTTCTGCCAGAATGCAGAGCAGACAAAGAGCTTCAGGTTATTAACTTGTATTAACTTCTGCTGCCAGCATCCTACAGAGTGCTAGAATGATCCTCTAATTGACCTAATGGTGTTTTCCTTATTTTGAAACGTAGGACATAATGCTGAATGAGTCTGATCCCATGATCATGTTTACAGGATGCTCTGTATTTGCCATACAGAATTTACTATATTGTAAAAAGGCCTATTTTCAAGAAAGAGAACTTGCTGGATGTTTAAGCAGTTGTCAGGTCTTTTGGGTCTGTACTGTTTAATGGGAAACGGAGAGTGCATGACCCTCCACTATTAACTTCTAAGAACACTAACAGGTGAGAGAGACCAGAGGTTGCACTGTGATGCTTATGTCAGGCTGTGACCTACTCACTTGCTACACCAGCAGGGTGTGGACAGTTGTGCTGGGATGCTCAGGTCTTGTCCAGAGCAGTGGCATCATTACTGAGAGTTGTAAGAGACAAACACTAAGCAAGGAGACATTGAGGTTACTTAGCCTCCACAGCTTTGGCTTTGTTGTCCAAAGGACACTGAACAGTCATCTTATTTGTGTAATACTCAGTGGTTTATTACTGCAGAGACTACATCATGGTACCTAAATATTGTGACCTGAATGCTGCATTTGCTAAAGCAAAATACAGATAAGAGCTTTGCATTCCCATAAACTGAATGCTTTTCAGATTTTGTATTTTACTAGGTAATTAAATTTTGTAATGCCATATAACACATGGTGATTACACCATAAATTAGTGTAACCAGTTTCTGGAAGTTTGCACTTTAATTTCCTTTTTGAATAGTAAACTGATAAACCCTCTCTGATCAAGAGTCAGTTTTAGACAGCTAAGATAATTAGGTTTTAATGTGTTGTCCATATCAAAAATAATCCTGAGACTATACACAATGTACAAGAAAGTAATAGTTCTCAGTTAATAATAATGAAAAATGAAAAGATTTATAAGTTTCACACTTAAGAAAATTTAAAGATACTTCTGGAGGTCATTAGCAGGATTATGCAAAAGTGGAAATAAGGTACTCATTATTGTGGGGTATTATAGAAGAGTAAAAACGTTTTTTAAATCTCCTGGTAGTTGTTAAATCAGAGGCTGTATTTTATATCTTTCTGAAGTGATCAAGCAGTATAAATTATAAACTATTTTGTAATTCTCTTAAATAAAGACAGTTTATAAAGAAAGAAACAAAAACTTTTGAAACAAAAGCTGGTGGTTTAGGAATATTTTTATTGATATTGCATTTTAGTTTCTATAACTCAGATTAAATGCTAAAGGTAAAATTTTGGAGTTTTATTTATGAAAATCCATGCCATCCTTCATATTGTTTCATTGTTCGTTTGAAGGTTCATACTTTATCTTTTCCAATTGCAATTGACAAATAGATAAAATTGGCAAATAGATAAAAGTAATCTACCCAAGCCGTGTGTGTGCTGGAGTAGCACTGTTCATTAGATTGTGTAGTGATACATTGGCCATTTAAAAATCTTAAGTGCCTTTAATAAGACAAGGTGTACTATGAATAGCTCCTGCAACACTGAAGTGAATCTACTCCATGCCTACAAGGCAGGAAGCTGAGAGCATGTTGTTTTGTTAGGTACAGTTACTGTATTAGCTATATACATGGGGAAGATACATATAGCAGACTACAGAAATTATGCAGTGAACAACTGGTATATTATTTTAGGTATTCCTGTTTGCCAACTGGTATTTTGTCTTGAAAAAGCTTTTCAGCATTGGAAGTGCCAAGGGAAGAAATGAATGGAAATGCTCTTTAAATGGAGATCCATTGCAATTTAACTTTTTTTTTGTTAGGTTTATTTACAGAAGGAAATGGCAGACAAGGGCAATGCAGTCTGTAAGGCAGTATATACTCATCACGATGATAGGAGGTGGGTTCCATCCTGCCTGTCATTACCTTCTTTGCACAGTCTCTATAAGATCCTACGGTTAAATACAAGCTTCATACAGTTATATACAAGGCATCATATATATTTATTCATATCACAGTTAAAGAAAAGAAATAATTCTAATCCTTTGCAAGGTTTGATCTTCAAGGGCTGGATTTCAGTGATATTTGCACTTCTTGGACAGAACAAGACCCACTTCAATGAACAGTGATTGTAACAGATCATCACAAAGACTCAGTGGCAGTGGGGGTAACAGAGATTAGCTGTTTTTCTCTGTATTAACAGAGAAAAATCACAAACCAAAGTATTTCTTCCTTAATGCTGCAGTATACTAGCCAATGTCTGTATTTTTTGTCTGTTTTGAGTTTTTACTTTCTGCTTTAAGCAAGTTCTCTTTGACAAATCCAAATGCCTTTGAGTCTCCGTGAGCCCAGGGAAGGGAAGGGAGCTATGTCCTTCTACTGGGACATGACATCCTGTAATAGATGGTAATGTCAGGGAAGTGGGAATGGAAGAAATCCCAAAGATAAATGGGCTCAATCATCTTCTGTGTTTAATGTTCCTGGAAGCTGCAAGCTTCTGCTTCTTTTTCTAACTCCTGTGTTGCCTTGCTGGGACCATCCACTGCCTTAAAGACTCACTCTCTATCATGGAGGCCAGGCTTTGTATCAATAACATGTTGCTGTAGGAGGACATTAGTGTGAATGAGGTTATTCTGTACAAATACTAGTGCGTAAATCCCAGGTGTGTTGATAGGATCTGGCAGGATGTACTTTCTGCCCTGTGCAGGCATAAAATGTTGTTGTAGATAAAGGCAGTATTTTGTTAGTCCATCTGTTAGGGCTGACCATGTCCTCTTGAACTATATTGTCACTTGAGTGTAACACTTGAGAATTCAGTGAATGTTCCAGAGGCACATTAAAAACCCTTGTGCCTATTATCGTCTCATTTTGTATGTATAGTTTACTCTGCTACCTTTGATATGTTGTTGCCAACCACTTGTTCTAGTAAATTGCCAACATATGGCAATATAATTGAAGACTAAAGGTGTGTACAGTGGTTGTAACTGTTTTAGGAAATAAAGTCACTGAACATGCAATTTGATAATGATTTTTCTTTTATTTCTTTAATCCGGTTTCCATTTCAATGAAGGGATGGTACTCTTTGCAGCTAGAGCAAAGACAGAAAAAACAAACTGATCTTTGGCATTTCAGTTCTTCTATTCTTCAGCATTTCCTTCTAGCAGAAGCTGGTACTGAATAATTAATTATAAGTTGTCCTTTCCATTTTAGCCATGGCCTGTATCTGCAATCGGCATACCCTTCTGGCTACACCTTTCCTTGACTGCAGGAGGGAAGGGGGTAAATGGCTCTGCAGAGCTTTCGTTTGTTGTTGTGACCTGAATGAAACAATCTGGATCGAACCATCAATCACTGGTGAATGTATCCAATGGGTCTCCCTGGTACCCCCCCACCACCACACGTGCACACACATGCACACGCACGTATCTAATAGGCTCCTGAGTTTCCTGTGGAAAAACACATTAAAATTAAGTAGTTGCATTTCAAATTGTGCGCGTCTGCTGCCCACACAGCTCATTCCACTTTAGCTGACAGTTTTACGAGGGCTTCAAAAGTTAAGAACAATTTTTGCTAGATACTGAAATGTGACCTCCCCCCTATATAAGCAGCATGGATGAGGCAGTCACAAAGTATCATGTTGAATGGCATTATGCTGGCACTGAGTTTTTTTGGTTGTTTTTTTGTTGTTGTTGTTGTTGTTGGGGGTTTTTTTGGTTTTTTTTTGGTTGGTTGGTTTTTTCTTTTTTTTAAATGCAAAATCCTTCTGTAAAACTCAAGTACTGTGTAAATGATGATTCTACCCTTTGACCCAGATTACACTTACTGATTACAGTGCAGTTTAAATTTGAGATACTTTTCTTTAAAACTCAACCCCTTAGCTTCTATAAAATGAGCATCCCTGATGAAGTTTTCAGGAACACTACTGACATACCCTGGTTTCTTTAAACAGAGAATGCAGTTCCACCATTTCCAATATTTTAATGTCATAACTCAAAAAAAAAAAAAGAAATTCTTTGTATATGGACAGATTCCTGTGTCAATAGAAATTTCTCAGTTTTTGTTTGGCATTGGCCACATAGACGGATGGCTGGTGATAGTTGTTACTTGGTCAGGAAACATGAAGGACTTGCCATCAAGCAAAACACGTGTATGTGCATGTATCTGTGTGTGGTGTGCTCTGTAGGTTTCTGGTACGCTGGAAGTCTTTTCATGGATCTGTGTCTGTTGGGCATGTGGGAGCTTAGTCCAGAGCCAGCAGTGGTTGGGTGTTCTCGCTTTCCCCTGGGTCTTCGTGTTTCAGTGTGCCGGCTTCCACCACAGACTGGGACCTGAAAGCAAGAAGACACACATGCTAGCAAGGACTGCTGCAGAAGCACTCACCTTCCTGGTTTTGTTTTATGATCTTTCTTTGCTTTAGTCCATTTTCATCTTTATGGCTTCTTAATTATTTTCTGTGGAAAGCATAAGGAATTTGAGAAACCTTCCTTTAAATACAAACAGGGATGTGACTCACTGGAAATCTCAAATGCTTTCAAAATATTTAGTGCTTACCTACTATCCATAATGCTGAATGTGCTCACCAACTTAAAGACCTGACCCTGCGATACCATGAGGTCTGGGGGGGCTTAATGTCTTCCTAGGCAAAACTGCTTGTGTGAAGCAAGCTGACTGCTGGAAAGCAGTCATTTGCACAAGTGCTTGCAAGGGCAAGTCTCAGCTTGTGCTTGTTGCAAATCTCAAGAAATACAAGTAGACAAATCACATGATGTAGGGGTTTAAGGGGCAGGGCTACCCTGAGTTACACAAGACCAATGAAGAAGCCAGAGTTAATATGACAAGGAGGAAGCTTCTGGTGTGCCCAGTCCTACAGTTTTTCTCTCTGTCTACACCCTTGAAGGAGAACTTTATTCAGGGCTAGTCTATTTTAAACTCATTTCTGTATTCAAGGTGGGAAACATAATTGAACCTTTGTTATTAGTGGACAAAAAAACTCCAACATGTAAAAAAATGAGTAAACACTACAGAGAGTGTAGAACATCATGATTTCTTGCAGTAACAAAAGCTGAATGGGCTTAAAATGATGGAAAAATTCAAGACTCTTTCATTTTCTGAGGTCTGTGTGCTCTAATGTTTGCTTGCCTATTTAAGGAGGATCTGATGAGTTTATTGTTACAGAGATTTGTTATCCTCCAGTTTCTCTGCTTTGGACTAGAAGTTGCCTCTTAGCAAGTTTGGAGTGGACAATGAGCTTTAGAACAAAATCACTGCGTGATTCGGGAACTTTTAAAAAGGGATCTTTTTCAAAAGTGGGGGTAGAGTCATCCAGCCCAGTCATTCGCATAGTGCATAGTATCATTTTAAGGAGCCGGTTTTCTCATGGATAGCTTTTTATAATTAGGGGTAGCTCTCACTCCCTACATGATGTGTTTGTGGTTCCCAGTTGTTCATTTAAGATTTAGCTATTTCATGACATTAGATGTCAACTCTCTTTTGATAAGAATCCTTAATAAATTGCATCCTTTGGTACTGTAGCACTTAATCAGGATTGAATACCATGACTGTGAATAGCTTGTATCATAATTATACTTATGCCTGGAGCTTTCATTAAAGCATAATAAAAAAATTTCATTTAAAAAAAAATCTCCAAAGAAAGATAATAAAAACCGGTTGCGCAATGGGAAGATTTTATGCCAGAATTTTCAGAGAAAATTTTGTTTGCCGAAATGTTTTCTCTGCATATTTTTTACAGATATGTGACATGCATAATGTTTATGATTGCATTTTAATATAGAAAAGCAACCTCTTTGGGACATTATGCAAAATGGCAATTTACATATTTCCAGTATGTGGCAGTAAAAACTAATCATATGGCTTCAAAACTGATACAGAATGGATTCAAATCACAACATTAGCAGGTTTTTACTTTCTTTTCTGGATTACCTGATTAAATTATTATTAAAAAGTACTGATTAATACTTGTCACCAATGTATTGCTTCTGTCTGATCCACTGCCCTTCAATGGATGTAAAAAGTTGCATATCCTTTGCAGCATTTGCCAGCACACAGCAGAAAGTTTCTTTTTTAAGTGAACTGTGAAAAATCTCACAATTTTGCCTTTTGTGATCACAGCTGATCACCTCTGCTTTCATGTCATTACATACACAAAAATTCTTGCATCTAGAACAGCAAGATACCAGTTTCTCCTCCATACTGGTACTTGGATTCACACTACCTTGGGAAAAATGTAATGCCAAGCTCTCTGCGCAGGTTCCATGCTATTCCTTTTCACACAGAGACAAAATAGCCAGAGCATCAAGTAGATGCATTGTAACCCAGCTGACCTCCAAATTCAAAATGCCAAATGATTCGAATGCCATGCCCAGCCTTTCTGAATAATGTGAAGAGGGATCAAATTGAGATTTTCGTATCTGCTAAGCTCTGCAGCAACAATTTCTTTTCCATTTCTGCTAAAAGCTGCTTTTAGCAGAAACATATATCCTAAAATAAGCAATTCTCACATCTATCTGAAGGGCACAGTCATGGTTTGAACAATCATCGCTATTTTCTAAGACACCACAAAAAAAGGACTTGTGTTTGGATTTCCATTTTCCTAATGCATCAGGGTTTGGTTTGTTTGGTTTTTTTGGCTGAAAAATGCTTCCAGTTTTGATTTTAACTTAATTTTTATGTAGAAAAGCAGAAAATAACTCAATTCTCAACAGGATTTTAAAATACTCATTTCATATTCTTAATTTGTGGTAAATATTAAAAATGTAGATGCTTGGAAAAGCATTTTGGCAATATACATCAATGCAGTTCAAAATCTAATGTAATAACTTAGCACAAGTTGTATGTTTTACTGGTCTAGAACATCCTGGAATATGCATTTTATAACTATACTTTATTTAATGACAAAGAAAAGATGATTTGCAACAGGTGACTGTTGCAGAAAGCATTTTCAACTGACAGTAACTGTAGAATGATAAAATATGCTGAGTTGGAAGAGACCCATCAGAATCATCAAGTCCAGCTCCTGGCCCTACACAGAACACCCCAAGAATCACATCATGTGCCTGAGAGTATTGTCCAAACGCTTCTTAAACTCAGATAGGCTTGGTGCTGTGACCACTTCCCCAGAGAGCCTATTTTAGTACTCAACCACACTCTGGGTGAAGAACCTTTCCCTGATATCCAGCATAAACCTGCCCTGACTCAGCTTCATGCCATTTCCTTGAGTCCTGTCACTGGTCACGAGAGTGAAGAGATCAGTGCCTGCCCCTCATCATCAGGAGAGGTTTTGCGATGACATCTGCTAGCTCTATGTGGATTCCAGGATGAATTCCATCAGGCCCCATAAATTTGTAGGGATTCAGCTGGAGCAGCAGATCCCACACAATTTCAAGGTCAACTGGGAGTGATCATTCTCACAGTCGTGGTCCTCCAGCTCAGGGCACTGAGATCCCCTGTATTTTGTGGCTGTAGAAATTAATATAAGACAAATACTATTTGGAAGAAGCACCCTACATGTTGGTTCAAGAAAAGCAGTCACATTCTGGGTATGTGCAAGTTTACACGCTGTTTAGGGGGGTTTGTGTGATGACTCTAGTACTGAACCTAGGACTAAGACTAGTTTTTCTTTTAAAAGTACTGCTACCTGTTTTAACTGCATTAACATTTTCTTCAGAGGACTTCACAACCACATTTCAAATTTTTAAATAGAATCTGATCATGGTTCTTGTGTTTGGTTATCTAATTGCTCCTTAACCTCTTATTGAAATATAAATTGCAGTCAGACACCAAAGTACTTTTTCTCTGACTAGTTCCTGTAATTTGCAACCATCATTGCATTCAAAGCACCCTCTTGCACAACAATTTAAGCCATTCTGATTTAAAATGGTAAATGAGCAGTACAGAACTTTCCCTGTTTGTCAAGCAGAGTTTAAGCTTTGGCCCTTTCATTGCAGTAGATGCTGTTCTGGTGGTATCCTATGGCAAGCAAAAGTTGTTCATGGCACCATATAGAAGTGTTTTTATTTTGCTGCCTTTCCATTATACCTGATGGGATGGAGTAGTAGAACACAAAAGACAGAATCATCTCAGTGATACTTGGTGACAGAAGAGGCAGCAGACACAAATGGAAATACAGCAACCTCCATTTTTTACTGGGGGAATAGTCAAACACTGAAACAAATTGCTCAGTGAGCTTCATGGAGTCTTCATGCTTAGAGATATTCAAAATCCAGATGGACACAGTCCTGGACAACCTGCTCTAGCTGACCTTGCACTGAGCAGGGGAGTGGGTGGAAGATCTCCAGAGGTCTCTTCCTCAACCTTTTTGTGATTCTGTGCCCACAGAAATATCAACTTCTCTTAACCATCCCAATTAATCTTTCTCTCTCATGACAGGGCAATTATTTTCTTTCCAAGCTCATTATGCCTTTAGGGTGTCAACTTTTACAGTGTGGATGACATTCAGCTGCTAAACATAGGTTCCTACAGCCTTTTAAGGCACCTTAGGGTATCTAAGACAACTGAAGCTTGTGACTCTGGGTTTTATAAGACTTGCAGAGGACTCCTGTCCTTCTGGAGTAACAGGTGGAGGCCAAGAGGCCATCATAGTGCCTAAAATCATACAATTTAATTACACTTAGAAGAATGAATGCAGCTAGTTTCTAACATTCAAGACATGTCAAAGTCATTTTGACCTGGGCAAGGAATGAACTAATCATCTAAGCAGGAAACAAAAATTACATTGGCCGACTCCTCCTATCGATACATTTTAGTCACTTGTGTTTTGATGTGCCTCACCATCAGACATCTATGGTCACTGTGTGATAAATGACAGAGAGAAATAAACATTCCCAGGGTGACCTGTTCTAAACATATGGTCTAAACATTATGATTCATGGGTTACCTACATTCAAGTCCCTGTTCTGATGAGTTCTCATCTGTTAACACCAGAAAGAACAGGTTTCATGACTTGTGAGGCAATGTTTCCTACTTATCATGGCCTGAACTGCCTCACACCTTCAATATTCACCTTTACTGTATTACCTTCAATACTCACCAGAAATGTGACACTTGTCCTGTGTGAGATGCAACTTTGAATTTTAAATGAGCATAACTGAATTCAAAGACTTCTGGTTTTCCTCCTTTTTCAGCTAAAAATTCTCAGTAACCAGTCTGAAAGATGCTTGTTTGTGGAGGATCTGGTTGACTTAAATTTTAGCAAAAGTCGACAACTGTTTGTATCACATGGATAGGGTCACTGCCCTAAGCTGGCAGACACTGTGCTTGTCTTTCTTTAACATGATCCACACAGGAGACT